TTGTAAAATGTTAATATTTATTTTATTAGCTAAGTTATATATGGAATATTAATTTCGTTTTTAATATAATTTGGAAACAATGACATTTTATAAAAATAATAAACTAATATAATGATGTGTCATTATACGATTGGAGGACTTAAATCCTACGTGGACGTCCTCAATGGCTTATAGCCTCAACTTTTATATAGTATAGATTTTTTTAGTTAAATTATATATGGAATATTAATTTCGTTTTAATATAATTTGGAAACATTGACATTTTATAAAAATGATACTTTACATTTAGTATATCTAAAAAGACAATAATGTTTTTTTAATATTACGTTTTTATTTTTGATTTCCATTTTTTTAAAATAAACAGTTAATACATAATCTTAAATAACATAAAATATATCACATATATAATTTGATTTCATAAAAAAAGGAAAGTTCACAATAAACATCTTAATATTAGAAATATATTCCTTTTAATACATAATCTTAAATAACATAATATATATTTTTAAAGTAATAATAATATTTTTTTTACATCAAGCTATATTTTCAGATGATCAAAACTAACTTAGATAACATAACATAAATTGAAGTTTCTTTATGAACTAAAAGTATTTTAAAACTAACTAGATTTTGACCCGCGCTTGAAAGCGCGGAAATTTTTTATGATTAAAAATTTATATAATTGGATTTTGTCTTAGCTTAAAGAATATTTTGATATAAAAGCAGTTCACCAAAATTTGTGGTGATGATTATTTTTCATTAATTTTTAGTTTCAGTTTTTATTTTTAGATTTTGGTTTTTGATTTTTAGTTTTTAAGTTTCTACTTTTTATTTTCAGTTTTTGGTTTGGGTATTTAATTTTTAAACCCGCTGAGTTAGTTTGAACTAATATTACCAACAAACAAATCTCAAATAATTGAACATCTAATACAAAACTGAAAAGATGACAACAAATTTTTTTAAAAAAATGAAATAGTTTATTTTGTAAATAAAAAAAGTAAAAGAATATAACATGTGTTTTCAGCTTTTGGTTTTGGATTTTAGTTTTTAGATTTGGTTTTTGGTTTTGCTTTACATTTTTTTAATCAATAAATTATTTAAGAAAAATAAAACAATAAATTATTTAAAAGTTACCATTGAAATTTATCAAAACAAAGTGATTGTTATTTAAAATAAAAATACATATTAACATGTTTTAAAGTACATGATTTAAATAAATGATTAATAATAGATAATTTTGTTTTGTTAACAATATTAAATACTCTTTGGGTCTGAAAATAATAATTGATTTTTTGATATTTTAAGGTGAAAAGTTTTTTCAATGTTTTTAGAGTTTTTTTCTTAATACTAAGCCCAAAAACAATACTATATAATTTGTTCAAAAAATAAAAGTAATCCAAGAGTATATTCCATAAATAACTACTGGTTTAATTTAAGTATAATTAGTAGATTTCCATAGTCCATATTTTGATGATATATATTCTTTTAGAACATTCCATATTTGTAGGAGAAAATATGTGTTTTCAGTATACACATAGATATCTGCCAAATTTTGAAGGTAGTTTACATTAAGGTCGTCTATTTACATTAATTGTGTTGATTTAATTTAAGTAATACGGTTCAATCAATTATATGACTTATATTATTTGTAACATTCTAGAAAAAGTCCAAATTAAAATGACAACTTGTATCAGTAGATAAAAAATGACTCTATTTTAATAGAGTAGATATTACTAAGTGTTTTACATATGTTTTGAATAATAATTTGTTAACATAAATTTGATTGAAAATTTCTTTGTATTTTTTATACGACTACATAAATTAAAAATATCTCAACTTATCTACAGTATACTTATATATTATTATATAAATGGTTTCAAAAAATTAAATAGAAAAAATGTTTGATTATTTATTTTTAAAAAGTAAAAGTAAATTAATATTTTTCTTATATAAATAAAATCTACAAAAATTTGTTATTTATTTAAAATACTAACAACATACTTTAAAAATAATCTTAAGCAAGATAACATTATTAGAAAATGTAACTACTTTTTTTTATAATTCTATCTTAATAAAAATAATTTAATTAAATAATTACAGAAATATTTTAAATATTATAAGACAATATATTTTTAGCGAACTATATATATTTACTTTACTTCTTTTTTCTTAATCTTTAGTTGATTTTAAGTTTTAAATTATATTTTTAACAACCAGTGTCTCTTATATAATCTGAATTCCCAAACTAATCTGAATTCTTATGTTTAAAATTATTAATATAGTTTTTAATTTATCTTTTATAAATTAAAATATAAATAATTTTTAAAAATATATCGGTCATGTTCTTTTATGTTTTCATATACAAAAAATGAAAATATATTTACACATCCTAGATAAAGAACGAAACTTCCACATTAAATAAAACTGATCTTATTTGGTTTAGTTGAAATAAAAATAGATGTATTTATAATTATATTTTTTATATATAAGAATAATTATAGTAATATCAACAAAAAAAATGCAATATAATATATCCAAATAATAATTAAATCGGTTAGATACTGTATATCTTAAATCACATGTCAGATTAAAACAACATGATATTATTTATACAAGATCTACATATAAATTATAAAACAAATTTGTAATCAATTAGTATGATTTATTTATGTTGTTGATTTTATATTTGTGCATGAACACGGGAAAATCACCTAATTCAACTTATATCTAAAATCATAAATTTAACTACAATAAGAATATATAGTTTTATAATAATAATAATAATTTATTTTATAAATATAAATTATAGGATGACTCAAAACATATTAACAAATGAAAATAAAATATTAACCAACTGTTGCAATCAGTTATTTTGTAAAATTTATATACATGCATGAGACTTTTAATTTATGTAATTTAGAATGAGTCACTTTAGTTTATATTTACGTATCTAACACCAACAACTAACCTAAAACATATTTATGTATCTAACACAACAACTAACCTAAATACAAATAAGAAAATTAATCAAAATTTAATATAGTTAGAATAAAAAAAAATTGTAGTTGAATTTAGAAAAATAGATACAATCCAATAAATTCATACGATAACTAAATCGACTGTAAAAATAAGAAAACCAATTAGATATAACATATCTAAAACCATCTGCTAAAGTACTATAATATTACTAATATAAATTATAAATTAACTTACAATTAAAGTAAATAGCAATCAATTTTTATAATATATTTACTAATATCTATTTTAATATAAACAGTTACATGTATAATTTAAATTAACTCCTATTCTGTCCTGGTTTGATCAAGTAATTTTTAAAATGTTAGTATTTATTTTGTTATCTAAGTTATATATGGAATATTAATTTCGTTTTTAATATAATTTGGAAACAATGACATTTTATAAAAATAATAAACTAATATAATGATGTGTCATTATACGATTGGAGGACTTAAATCCTACGTGGATGTCCTCAATGGCTTATAGCCTCAACTTTTATATAGTATAGATTATTTGCTCTTATTTTCACTTTCATGTTGATTGCGTTCTTAGAATTTTGTTTATGCGTGTAAACTTACCTGTTAATTATGTGCTTAGTAAATTACCTGTTAATTGTGTTCTTAGTAACTTACAGGTTAGCATTTTTACTAGTCTTTTTATTTTATTTTTTGTGAAACAGCATTTTTACTAGTCAAGCGTGTAATGAATGGCATATTTCACAGTACATTACGAATTATGTAGTAATAACCATATCTAATTGTTTCATAATCTCCCAAGTTTACCTTTTGATTTATTGCTCTGTCTTACTTTTTTTCCTTACTGGAAAATTTGCCAATTTTAGGCAGACAAAATATCAACCCATCTATGGTCCCATAACTATTAAAATCTCAGATCATATGGAAAATTTTAAATTTCATAGGTATTTTAGACCACTCAGACTCTCAAGTATTAGGATGGTCCTATTTCATTTAGATAATTTTCTTAGCTTTATATAACAGAATAATCTCTTATATACACGTTAATTACAATGTTTCCTTGAACCTTATCTTAATGAAACATTAAACATGTAGTAACACAAATAATATTTTATGAAAACAATAATAAACACACGCATGTTATCTGTGGACCAACAAAAATAAAAAAGCAAGGACATAACGGTCATCGCCTTATAAATTAATTTAAAATGTATATTTTTTGTCTTCGTTCCAAACAAGAAACCTGAAACCATGTTACCTGTAACAACGACATGTATTTATTATTATACTCCTCCACGGATCCAACGTCTCAGACTCTTTCTCAACCGTCCGATCTTACTACCATTTTTACCCCCATGCTTTTGTATTCTTACCAAAATTGCCACTCCTTTCATGTTTTGTTCTCTTCTCTCTTTGTGTTCTTGAATGTTGCGCTTTTGTTAAAAAGCTTTCTTGTTCATTTTCCATGGATGGACCTTGACCTCTCCTTCCCTTCTCTCACCAAAGTTCGTTCACTTTCTCTCTCTTCTCTCTTGTGTTTATCTTCTCTCTCCAGGTACTAGCTTCTAACATCCAAGAACACTAAATCTCTCCAGGTACTAGCTTCACTTAGGTTAAAGATTTGTTTTAAACATTCAAGAAAACTAAGTTTCAATGTAGATCGTTGTTGTTTGAACTGTGTTGAGTTTGAGAATTTTTTTTCATGCAATCTTGTTTTGGTTTTGGGGTTGTTCTTGTGATGCTAAGCAGATAAAAACAAGTTGTACAAAACTAAGATCTCATGTCTTATCGATTGCCAAGTGTCGACAAGGAGGGTTTGAAGGAACGGAACTACTTGGGTTTGTCTGATTCCTCCTCTGTTGACAGCTCAACCATTCCCAATGTTAGTGACAAGAAGAGCAGTCTCAACTTCAAAGCTACAGAGCTAAGGCTAGGTCTTCCTGAGTCTCAATCTCCCCAGAGAGAAACTGATTTCGGTTTGTTAAGTCCAAGAACTCCTGATGAGAAACTCCTCTTCCCACTGCTCCCTTGCAAAGACCATGCTTCAGGGCACAAAAGAGGCTCCCTTGCTAAGAGTGACTCCAACAATGCACCTGCTGCCAAGTGTGTAGTGAATGCTAACTAGTCTATGAGTTTGTTTATGAGTAAAGAGAACATAATGTTGTTGTGGTAATGTATAGGGCACAGGTTGTTGGTTGGCCACCAATCAGATCCTACAGGAAGAACACAATGGCTTCTTCTACTTCAAAGAACACTAATGAGGTTGATGGGAAACCTGGTCTTGGTGCTCTGTTTGTGAAGGTGAGCATGGATGGAGCTCCCTATCTGAGGAAAGTGGATTTGAGAACCTACACTTGCTATCAACACTTGTCTTCTGCACTTGAGAAAATGTTCAGCTGCTTCACGCTTGGTGAGTTCAAAAGCTTACCCTTTATTACAAATAAAAAGAAATGAAACAAGAACAGTGAGTTTTTTTTGTTTTGGTTTGTGATCTCAGGTCAATGTGGACTTCATGGAGCTCATGGGAAGGAAAGAATGAGTGAGGTGAAGCTGAAGGATCTTCTTCATGGATCAGAGTTTGTGCTTACTTATGAAGACAAAGATGGTGACTGGATGCTCGTTGGAGATGTCCCTTGGGAGTAAGCTTCTCTTGAACTCAGTTCCTTGTCAAAGATGGACCAAACATGAGTTAGAAAGATAGTTTATTTATGAGTTGTTGCCTACTTGCAGGATATTTACTGAAACATGTAGGAAACTGAAGATCATGAAGGGCTCTGATTCTATTGGCTTAGGTAAGAAGAGCCTTTTTTTTTTGCCAAGCATCTTCTGATATATCTGAATACAAAACTTAATGGTTGTTGGTTTTGCTTAGCTCCAAGTGCAGTGGAGAAATCTAAGAACAAAGACCTAATCCCTCTCAGGGTTTGAAAGAAAGATGCTCAAAACAAAACACACTATGCACAGTTCCAATGTTTCAGTCTTCTTAAACTGATGTGTTTGAAAACTCTTTCTTCTAGTCTTTACTAATTAGTAATTTGTGTTTGTAAGACTTTGGAATCTCTATTTTGTATGTTCTTGTTCAGAACAAATACACTTGCTATTATGTGTTTGTTAACCTTTAATCTTCATGACTTGTTTTTTCATTTTTCAAATATTTATTGCTTGTAAGTTTTTGCAAAATGTAAAATTAGATTAAGAAAAAATAGAATGACTGCAACATAAGCATTCTAGTTTCATATCTAGAATGGGGAAAAGTACACTATTCCATATCTACGGCTTGAGTTTTTCTTGTAGAGTAAACCAAGTAACCAGACCATCCTTAAAAAGCATTCCTTAGAGATTACTGAGATAATTCTTTTCTAATTTGTTTGTCAAGTTGGCAAAGATGTTGAGCAGGAATATTGGGAGGGTTGTAGCAGGTAAATGTGTAGATTGTCACACATAACATAACCAGCTTTGAGATTTTGTGAACCATAAACATTGGCTAAAAGTTTAATTAGAAATTTAAAACAATTTGACAGTCTATGCATAAATACATTACCTCTTAAAATTGTGGAGGTTTAAAACCAATATGTTACTGTCTTTACCCAGAACAGGTCATGTTGTCATATTACTTATCAACAAAGACATCAAGAACAGGATTTTCACTTTGTTGTATATCATTTTTTTGTGTGTTAAACCACTACATATCTCTTCTGGAAAACTGTAACTGAAGAAGTGGTTCCTACGTTTCCATGGGATTTGAACTTAAGACATGTTGCGACTGTACCTGAGCTCCACTGCATCAAAAGCTTATTATGGGATGGCAAGCCACATTAGAAGTAAGTACTTGGATGTGTCATATTATTTGAACCAAATGCCTTTGTGCCATTTTAGTTGCTTGCCTTGCCTGTGTTACACGAATGTTCATCCACGTGGTTCTTTTTAGTTAAAGTTCAACTTATACTTATCTCGTCTTTTTGCTTGCTATTTTAATCTTATCACGAAGACTGAAGACGAACCTTTTTCTTCTCTCTAATTATATGCAAAGTTTGATTTGTTTACTGTTAGTACAAAAGTCTCTAAGTGATAATTAAGATAAAAGTTGATTGTTGATGGCTAATCCTGTATATGTAAAGACTACTAATAAAACTTTTTCACACAAAGTGGAATATCAAATAATGTTATTTCAGTTTATCAAAGAAGAAAGAGCATAATCCTGGATTAACTTTAGACTAATCCCCAATAATTCACCTTCTAGATTTAGGCATACCGTCTTTTGTATGGCTTGATTTCCCCAAAGTTTATCCATACCATTTTGTTGAAATTTTTACATTTACAATTGTGTAATTTAGTAGTATTTGTTTTTTTTTTTGAAGAAAAAATATATGTAAATTTGGATCAACATTACTCAGTTATAAACTGTTGTGATTGGTGTATGTCACATGTAAAAAAAAATACTGATTACTAAAGCTAACATAAATTATATTTTCATTTTCTATCAAGTTAAAGATTGTGACTGGTAAAATTGGAGTTACTAAATTAGAGTTAATAAGAGGAAACGAAATAGAGATAGTGGGAGTAAAATTTTTACTCTTATAAAAAGGAGTGGAAAATCTTACTCTACAAATCCACTAAAAGGCAAAATCATTTCCTTTTCCTCAACTAAAAATAACTTTACCTTGATTGATTTTGTTTTAGAGTAATTCAGCTGAAAATTGCTTTTTTTTCTCTAATATTTTACTCGATTATACAGGCATAGCCAAACTGTATCCTGCTGTGTTGATATATACACACACACATATTATATATATATATATATATATATATATATATATATATATATATATATATATTCTTATGAAGTTTCTAAAAGAACGATATTTTTACATCAATGTCAATTAGTCTTATCAAAGGAGGGGGAAAGTGGTTAAGCACAAATATAGCACTTCTAAGTGAGTTTGTGGTTACAGGTTAGTGCACTTCATCATTGACTTTATTTTCGAATTTTATTCGTAAGAACAATTATATGAAGCACACTTATATATATGTCTTGTTAGTGCTTTTCATACGAACCCAATAACTCTTTATCAGCGAAATCATTTTAGATGCTTATCATTGACTTTGGTTGTAATGTTACAGTGAAGATCAGAATTTTTTTTTTTTTTTGTAACTTGTGAAGATCAGAATTATTCTCTAAATAAATTAGACTTGACCAAAACATCTAACTTACTAGCTTAAAGGAGATTTGCAAAAGTAACCTGTTTGGCCATCATAATATGCAATTATTGTTTATTGCTCGACGCCTCTTCGTTATTATATTTTATTGACATAATTAATCCTCCATAGACATAAATATGTTTAGGGATAGTCCATAAATGACTTTCTTGGTTAATATTCACTGCACAGTTGTAGTTAAATATAGTACAATACAATAATGTTTAACAGTAGAAAATGTAGAATTTTATTAATATGTATATATATATATATATATATGTGAGAGAAAAATATACAAGAATCAAAATTGAATAAAATAAATTATACAATAATAATATATAACTATAGAAATCTAACTCAAAATGGAAAATATGAAGCTAAATTGTAGAATTAGATATCAAAGTTACTTGGTTCTCATTAACTCGACCAACGTCGTTATACAACATGATTGTGTAAATAAAATCCTACCTAGTCCTTATCGTACAAGGAATATTCTATCTTTATCATCAAACAAATATTTATCGCTAAACAATAGCTAGCATCCTTATCTAAATAACTAAACCTTATAACAATATTAGTTTTCAATTCGAATCCTTGATCGAAAACTAACTCCGCTCGCTGTTCACAACATTCTCCCTCACGTTAGAACGTGAACACCCACAACTTGAACATACAGTTAAATGCACAAGGCCGTTAGCAACAAGCTTAAGCTTCAGTTAAGAGTACATTAGCTTTCGCCCAGGTTTTGGACATGTGACGTTTGTCAGCAAATCGGACACGAATCGAGAAATAAAACTTACTAAACTAAAAACATACGTTTAAATGCACTAGTATGATCGAACAAAATTAATTACATTAATAATTGAAAAAAAAATAATTGCTATAATTTTTTTAGAGTACTAGAAAATGCCTTATTACTGGAGTATGAACCAAACATATTACATTGAGAGGAAAATAATTATTAAAAAAATGTATCGCTAGAGTGTGAACTGTGAACAAATTAGCATATTACATTAATAGTTGAAAGGAAAATAATTATTAAAAAATGTGCTAGTCTTAGAAAAGGAAAGTGTTATTATGTAGAAATGAAGGGTACGGTCTTAAAAATACATATGGGAAAAGTTAGTTACTAGTAGCACCTTTTGAAATGCTAATGTATAATTCCTCTGTATTTGGCAGATTATGTATTTGAAAAGTTGATATTTTAGAATTTATACATATATTAATAAAAATTGAATACACATCTATTGATTTTTCGTTTTTATTTTTAAGTTTTGTTTGCCTCCCAAAAAAACTATAGCACTCATAGTTTTAAATTTTTACATTTATGTTTTAGTTTTAAAGCAAACTACCTTAATTAAAATCTAAAACGTTTAAAGTACAAAATAGTAACTAAATGATCAATATTTTTGAATATGAAATGAGTATAACTTAAAGATTCATGTTAATGTTATCACTAAGTTAATTATTATGATACTAACCAAAAAGTAGATAAACAAGACTATATAAAGCCGGCTGGACTATATAAAGCCGGCTGAGACAGGAAACCGATTCACTGAGAAAAATAAAAAAGTGAGAGCGTTTCACATGGTCGGAAGAGATGCGTCAGTATTTTCCCAATATTTAAGGTTGGGTGATAAGCATATCAAAATCAGTTTATCATTTCGCCTGAACTTGAAAAGAATGATGAACACCAATGATCATCCGTCTTAGCAATTGAGAAACTATAATTAACGCACTTGAACATACATATTGTGGTGTCTGGGACAGTGTAGTCAGGCGGTAAGGAGAAAGGATTAGTCGATAACATGTTTCAAGTTTTGATCCATCTGTTTTGCGAAATTAAATCTCACTGCTTCTGTAATCTATACATATATGGATCTATATTTTCGGTTCATTTGTATATCCAAAAAGAATCTATCCGTAAATTACATTTCTATTTAGGGATTTGTGTAGATCTTTTCATAAATCCGGAATATCTTAGGTTAATTCAAAACAAAAACATACAATAAGTGCTATGTTATTCAACATTTCCAGTAATAGATTTTAATTTCCTTAAATATATTAAACGGACAGCGATCATTATAAGCCGAGGCTTCCATGAAGTTCTTTTGCGTTGGGTCTTTTGAACTAGGCATAGGCATCCGGGTCCTCAAGTCGAGTCAGATTGAGTCTTATCGGATTTGGGTCTTTCGGGTCGTGAAAATTTGGACCTATATAATTTGGATCCATATAATTTTTAGGTCGGTTCTGGATCAGGTCTTGTCGGGTCTGGATCGGTTCCGATCTTTAATTTCAAGACCTGTAAAATATCTATAATTTTCGGATATATTTTGGATTGGGTCGGTTCGCGTATTTAGGATCCGAAAAAGACCTGAAATGCTCAAAGTAGACCCAAAAACCCAAAAATTACCCGAAGAATCACCAAAATACTTATAAAAAAATCAGACCCGAAAATTCAAAAGTACCCGAAATTTTACCTAAATACCCGGATTATATTTTCTGAAAATCTAAAATTTTACCCGAAACTTAAAATTATACCTGAAAACCCGAACCCAAAAATTTTAAAATACCCAAGATACCAAAAATATACCTAATCACCTAAATATATCTTATATATACATTAATTTGCAGGTATTTCAGGTACCCGATCGAGTTTGGGGTAAGACCCAGACCCGACTTGAAACCCGCGGATCCAAATGAAAAAAAATCCAACAGATACTTTGCATGGACTCGGACCCGGATTCGAACCTGTATTTTCGGGTCGGTTCTGGTTCGAGTCTTCGGGTCAGTTTGAACCTTCTTTATAGTATAAGTAATTACAGTTTATAACAAATAACATGATAAATTATGAGGGTGTAAATAATAAGATTTGACAATGTCTCAAAGCATGAATAAATGAACACCACTAAGCTATCCTATCTTGATTTTT